GCTATTCTCAAGATACATTTATTAACAGGAAAACAAAAGGTAAATTTTCTCTGGAATTTGGGCAGCAAGGTCTAATGTCAAATTTTCTATTTCAGAAAAATTTTGTTCAACATATTATAAAAAATTTCCAACATACGGCAAAGTTGAAAGAACCTTCCAATAAACACTCGTACACCCATCATCAAGATCCTACCATCACCATTTTACAACACGTGCCTTATCACATAATCATCCTCTCCCTTTGCCATCCATCAATCCATCTTATTTTTTGGATACACCTTAAAGTAAATCACAGATTTCAATTGCTTCTGTTTAATAGGAAACTTGACACAAATACAAATAAAAAAGTTGGGTCTTTATAGTTTTGATTATGCATGGAAGGGCCTATATATAGTTCTCCAAATTTATTTTCAAAAAATTTTAAGAGCCTAGAGAAAACAGGAATCAAGGCTTTTGTTTGTTGGTTTGTTGTAGGGGAAAATAAATTTTGGCAAAGATTGCACACTGTACTCTAATGTTCAATGACCCCTCAGTTCTTAGCGACAGCATTTCTCAGCCTGCTTCCTAGCTGGGGATGGCTATAGGACAGTTCTGAACAATGGGATGTGAACACAAGTGATGTGTGAGCTTCCAGTTGTTCCTAAAAGAAAGCTGTTGTCCTCCAATGCCCACAGGCTGAATCGTGGACATGGTTAAGGTAGGTCGGCTTCCAGTAGGAAGATAAGCACAACACCCCAAAGAGATGGCAGAGCAAGAAGACAGGAAGAACCTGGGTCTCTGGATGACATTTGAAAGATGAGTTACCCTACTCCACCTTCTGTTCTCTCTACCTACTCACACTTTTAACAAGAAAGAAATAAACCTTCTTCTATTTTACTTAAGCCCCAAACCCAACATCCTACAAATATAAGTGCCTTTCTGAATGCTTTCTGTGCCTTTATTTCTATTTTTATCCAACTGAAGTCTACCAGTTCCATTTATTATAAAAATCTCGATACTTTGATTTTTATAACTACCCATGAATTTGAAAGCACAAAGAGTCATAGAAATAAAGATTCTAAAATTAAGAGGAAAAAAAGAAGAAAAGAAATACAAATCATCTTGTTGATGGTTAAGTTCCAAAACAATTTTCTCCATTCTTGTAACATTTTCCAGTAAATCAAGCAGTTGTGTTTAAAAATTCTTTGGGGACTAAAATTTCAGCCACAAATAAAACAGAAATTGCCTTAAGCACAGTCAAAGGAAAATATGTTTAAAAAGCAAACAAAAACTAGAAAGCAAAGGAGGCATAATTTGGCCTTCGAAAGGTAAGGCCTGTGGATAGGTCTGAGCCTCAAGTATACTGAGCAAATAAAGTCCTTCATGTAAGAAATGTAAGCAGTTTCATTTGCATTTCAAATAACTGGCTAATGATGAGATAAAATTAAAAGGCTATGTTACTGGATGAGTGAGCCCATTATTATACTATCTGCTATTCTCAGAAATCTCCAGGAGACGTGGAGTTTGAGTTCACTTGAATGAAACCAGCCCCTTTCCCCCAACAGAAATTCCTTTGTAAAAACATCTGCCATGTCATTTTCTCAAGAAGGTTACCCTCAGCCTCCCTCCTCCCCTGGACTGGAATGTCCTCGTTAGCAAGAATCTTAATAGACCCAATAAAGTAAAATTATTCACAGTGGCAGCTTAGAGCGGTCATTCCCTAATGCACTATTAGATGGCATTAAAACCCAATTCATGTTACATCTCAGCCTTAAGCAAAGCTTACTTCACAGAGTCATGCATTGTCTTGCAAACGTGTAAAAGGGCATTCAAAATGACCGGGTCCTTGGTGGGCTCTTGCTGATGCCTAGGAGACATTTAAAGATAATGGTCAAAGCTCTGTCCATTGACAGCAACGCAAGCGTGGATTTAGTTCTCATCCACTGTACATATTTGAGAAAGAGCAAATTATCTGGC